AGTTCAGCTGCATCTCCATCCTGGCTTTGAAAGACACAGATACCCACAGTGTTTCGTGTCACTAAAGGTCCACAGGTCTCTCCTGCCACTGCCAACACAGACAGGACTCCAGCAGGTATCATCAATATATGTACTTTAGACCTCAGGGCACCAGAAGGCCTATCCTAAACATGAATAATTTAGGGAAGGGGGTGTTTCTTGGGAAGGTTTTTAAAAGATGAAAGTGCTTTTGAAGAAAAAGAAACTTTGCTTGCAAATCACATAACAGCTGCAGAGCAAGGCATGAAGAGAGAAACTCTAAGGTGAACTCTGCTGGCCACTCTGACAGCCTTCCCAGGGAGCTGAATGAGGAGAGCTGAGCTGGCACATCTTGGTAAGGCTCCCAGTGCCAAGGGCTGTACACTAAATGGTGCTAAGGGACCCACTCTGCTCAATTTATTACAGGAAAGATAATCATGTTTGCTCATTTTACTCATTTATCAGTTCTGAATGTGTGCCCATTAACTATATAAACTGTAGAGGGGAAAAAACAGTTGGTGAAATATCCTACAAAGCAGCAAGGGGATTCACTAGAAATCTGTAATTCTGAGTGAGAACAAGTGTCAGAAAGTTCATAGGGCTTCCTGTGTGATCCTGTACCTGTCAAAGAAAAGGATCTAGACAAAGTCTTATTTGTGAAACTGAAAAATCCACATAGTCCTTGAAAGGAGATGAACTCCTCGAAATAAAAAGAGGGCAAAGGCAATAATTCACCACAGTTTGTTTTTTCTTGCCCTTCATTAGATTATTATTCCCTAAATCAACCCTGCAGGAAACAGAGACATGGAAAATAAGTGCAAGTATGTATTGCCATGAGAGCAGTAAGCCTTACTCCAACAATTCTCAAAGTAAGAAGCTTAACTCTATTATATGATGATAAAGCAATTTCATCTGAGACACCAAATCTTCAGTCCCAAAGATAGAAGCATTTTGTCTGCATCTGAGAAATGGCAATGATTCTACAGACGTGGAGGCTCATGGAATTACAATGGCTTTCTTCGAAGATGCTGAAAGGCACAGATGCCAAAACAAGATCAAGTCGAAACTGATAGTGCACAGGACTATATGAATCAAGCAGACAGCCCAGTGATGCAGGGGTCAAACAGATGGGAGGAAGAAAAGAAAAAAGACTGCAGGCCAAGGGTATTTGAACTGTATATGAACACATTTACATTCAGTGTGGCACTATCCATGTGTCATACACAAAAGTGGGACCTGCTCTAGCCCTGAGGAATGCTGCAATATTGCCTTATGACAAGACATTCACTCATGACATGGACACTTCTCTAAATTAAGTGCTTTCTAGTGCCAGATAGTCTTTCAGATTTGCTTTTTTTAGTGCTTTTTAAATAGCTTGCTCTCCAGTGATCTGGAGTCACATGCTTGTGCCTTTGATCATTCAGAGAGTATTTCACAAATTCTTTGGGAAAATACTCAGACCAGCCTAGATAAATAACAGAGCTATGCCTGTCAGAAACTCCCTTCTCTACCTGGAACCAGCTAAAGACAGGGGGAGATATTTCGACAGTCAGCACCAGAGCTAAGACTAAGGAGTAAAAGGGGCTCACCTGTAAGTTTGAGCTCTAGGGCTACTGCTAGCAAGAAGGACCAATGTAAAAGATCAGTGGAATGATACAAGTAAAGACATTTACCACATGAGGGTGTAGAATTGAAAAGGAAGGCTGGGATTGTATCTGGGCAGCTCCTGTAGTGTCAAGAAGCCATCCCTGCAGACAGGGACAGGCAGAGCCAGAGCTGAACTCAAGAGGGTGGCAGAGGTTATTGGGTGGGCTCAGTCACCACTTGGAAAGAGCAGTGGGGACTTTCCTTGGGTGTGAAAGGAGCTCACAGCAGTGGGATCTGAGTGAGCTGCACTGGTGTGCTTTTAGCCCTTGGGCTTCACTAATTTTCATATTTACATGTCACTGGCCTGGGACCATCAGTGTATCTGCAGACAGACAGTTCCCTGTTCCCAGCTGTCCCAACTGCACAGAGCAAGACAGAAGGAGGCACAGCAGTTTTAGAGGGATGGAGTGGTTTTGAGGTCCTTGCAGGTCCTTTGTTCTTTCTGGCATGCACCAGAGCACTTGAAGGCAGCTCTGAGATGTGCAATGGGCCCTGCCTGCTGAGCACTCCAGCATGGCCCATTTCCAGGGTCCCTGTGCAGTGAGTCATGAGCTGAAAGGAATACACAAAAGAGGTTGTTCTTGTCTCTCCTGCCCCCTTTCTACAGCCTCTGAGAGTGGCCAGGACAGCATACAGGAGGATAAGTGCAAGCAGGAGTGAAGTCCTGCTCCAGAAGTGATTGAGAAACCTGTTAAACTAGCTGGTGACGTCTGATGCATAAATCTTATGGATCATCCTTGGAAAGAAACTACACAACTTCAGTTATGATGCATTAGATCACCACAGACCTCAAGAAACAACTCCACAGGTCACCAGGAATTCACTAGTAAGAATGAAAGCTGCTCCACTGCATCCTGCAATCCACTGCACAGCAGATTGCCACAGGACTGAACCCCAAAATGCTCCATGGGGGCCCATCGTGTGCCACTGGGGCCTGGCAGCCTCCTCCACCAGGCATCTCTGTGTGGGTGGCCTGACTCCTTCTTTCAGGTGTACCTGACAAACTGAAAAAAAGATTTAGGAACCCAGAATGATGCCCTAAAACTGCACTGATGTTAAAAGGCACAAGCAAACAGCACAAGCAGCCCTTCTCCTTCCAAATCCCTAGCCCCTCTCCTAGTCCAAATCTAAGAAAGGATACAATAGAGGGCAATGATTTTTAATGCATAATCAGAAGCTGCTGTAAAAGTCCTTGTAGAAACATGATATCTATCATATTTATCACAAATTTGCTAAGTAAGGTTAATACCCTGGCATTGACCCTGTCTCATATGCCCTTAATAACATTATTATGCTTTGTCCTGTTAAGATTTTACAGCAGAAGAGATAACACCTGGTCGATAATCCATTATAAACAGGTACTTTTCTTCTTCTCCCCTTGCCCACAGCCTCCACCCCATTGCAGCAGGGAAGATATTGCTTCAGCCAGAGAATTTTCCAATGTCAGCCTGTAACCATCATATGCCTGAAGAAAAAGAAACTGCTCAGGCACTGTGGTCTTTATCCTGGCAGTGGGAGAGCCTGCATGAATATCAACATTATCATAAATCATTCAATTGCTGAAAGTCATCCTAACATCTGAAGGACCTGAATAGCAACCATTTCTCAGTCCTTATGCACATCCACTCACAGCAGCTGAGCTGTGGGAGTATATAGACCTATTTTTCAGCTGGCATGATAATCAAGACATTCCTCATTTAAGAGTGAATTCATTTGCCTTTGTATTAGTCCTAAATAAGAATACCAGAAACTGATATGTAATCTCCAACTCAAATGAAGATTAAACTGAGGCCACCAAACTCCTTTATTCCTTAAAACACATATAAAGCCCCAGCAAGATTCTTATCTTGGTGTGAATCTAAACATACTGAATAAAATTTAAAAGCCCCCATTTCAGACTGGTTTTTCTCAGCAGCCCCAGTGCAGCCATAAAAATCAGAATCTGTCTTTAATATCTCTGCACACCGGTACCGTGCAGAACTAGCTCCAGACTATTTATAGCTCACTCTATATATACACACTGCAGCTTCCAAAGGAATATTTTATCTTTTGGGAGGACAATGCTTTCAGTAAAGTAAGAAGCCAAAGTTTTGCTTTAAAAAAAAATAAAAAACCCCAAACCCTCTGCTCAAACCCTTAATGTAAGAAGCCAAAGTTTTGCTTTAAAAAAAAAACAAAAACAAAACCCAAAAAACAAAACCTCTGCTCAAACCCTTAACCTGGAAGAGTGGCCCTGCACTGCCAATCAGATAATGGGCTTAATTCTTACATCACACTTTATTTGTAGCTCACTGTGTAGTTAATGTTTGCAGCTTATCTAACAGGAGAAATGTGAAACCAGAGTTTTAGAACAATAGAAACAAGGCTGTCACCAGCAGGCTGCCAATGAATCATGTCCCTGCAGTCAAGTTCTCCCAGAAGGTCATTTGTAACAGAAATACATCCCTGCCTGAGCTGGCAAAATGCTGAAAAATGTTTCTCAGTTTTATCCTAATAAAACATCGAACAGATCAAGTACCAGAACAACTTCACCTGGTAGGATTTTCAAGTCCTATTGTCTGCAAGAATTAATAGTACAGGTTACTGAGTGAGCAGGCCTGCTTTCTTCTGTGTCTGGGATTCTAAAGGTGGTTTTACCTTCAATCTAAATTCAAGGTAACAAAAAACCTTTTATAAACCTTAAGAGAAGTGATTTACTGTTCTCTTTCACATTCTAAAAATCAGAAAAAAAAATTTAAACACTAAGTAACTTTCTTCCATATCATTCAGAACAGAAGCCCTGAAATCATGGAAAGCCAGCGAGGTCTGCAAGAATGATTTTCCAAGAGACAGAAAGCAGCAGTGATACTTACTTTCTTCTGTTCAGAGAGAGATGCAGAAAAAGGACAAGGAAGTAGCAAAAACCAAAAAAAAACAAAAAACAAAAAACCCCCAAAAAACCCCCAACCAAAACAAAAAAAGTGCCCAAACCTGAGTCATAAAAGCTGCTTTTTGCTCACATGGAATTATTTTAAAGTAACTGCAGCTTAAAAAAGAAAAAAACATATTTTCTGCTGCACTTGCAAAAGAGCTCCAGATTTTCTGCAAGAGAGAAAGCAGATGATGGGGGGAGCTGTTCTTTTAAGAAAAATGTCATTGGCACAAACAGCTGGCACTTGGTGACGTGTTATTTATATGTGCAGTTGCTGTGTTTTTTAACAGATAAGAAAGCATTATCTCATTTGTGATTCAGGTGAGGAACACAAGCAGCTCTGCAGCGCCACTGGCTGCTGCACCACGTTCCTTATCACATCAGAAACATCTGTCACTCTGCAAATGAGTCCAATATAAAAGTGCATCAAATGTGCTGTTTCATGATGAGACAGAATTCTGCAAGGAAACCTGAAAAGCAGCCTCCCCCTGCAAATGCTGGGATGGTCTGCCCCATATTCACCAGTTGGGATAAGAGCAAGGACTGGGAGGGGGAAGGGGAGAAAAAGATTGAGAGACCTTGGAAGTGTCATGATTATAAATGATCCTTTCTCTAGGAGCCAGCTGTGCCTGAGAACAACCTCGCCTGTGAGGTTCCTGCTGCAAAATGATTATCACATCATCAACAGACCTGGCTGAATCCTGGCTTTGTGGTCCAGAGGACTTTACTCAAGAAGAAAACACTGATGGGCTGGGGTAGGAAGGATGTGTGGAGAGGTGGCCAGCATAGGGATTACCACCAGAAGTGCACTTGCAGGGCTTTGCTTGCAAAGATGGAAATGAATCCATTTTAAGGGCAGCTGAGGATGAAATGGTAAGAGCTTCCACTCCCAGGGAAGGCAAGGTGTGCCTCTAGTCCAAGCTGAGGGGAAAACCAGGGTATGCTCATGCACCCCTGTTCATCCCTGCAGTCATGATGCACCTGGCACAAAGTTAGAACCCAGCAATTCATAGTTTGGACCAAGTTTTCCTCTGATGGTGTTCTCCAGAGAACTGGGCTGAGTCTAGTACCCCTGTGAGTGCAAGGGCATTTTTGAACTCCTCTCTAAAGGAACAAAGACAACTCAAGGTGGCTTCAAAATCCCTCATGCCTAGAAATGCCTCAGTAGCTCTGGAAGCAGGCAGCTGGATTGAGATCCCCATCTGTGTCACACTGAGCGACTGCTTCCTGCTTTGCCTTTGGGCTTTTATTTTAAAATACAGCAGAAAAATGACTGTTTCTTTAGCCCTTGCTGAGAAATCCCTTGAACTTCAGCTGATACACAGGGGAAAACTAAGGACAGACTCTGAACTGGGTTATTGTTCCTTTAGCCTGTGCACAGCCACATGCTGCCTTTTCTGTCCCATCAAAGACCCCCCTGGTGACCCTTTATGGCTGCTGCACGTCCAATTGTGGATGAAATGTGAAACATCCTCTTTTTTCCCCAACGAGTACTCAAACCAGGCATGCAACTTGAGAAAAATAGGTGAAAATACCTATTTTAACTTTGCTTCTAATCAGAAAACATATATTATTAAATATGCATACTTCAGCAGAAACAGCAGGTAAGGGCTCCCACTCTAAAACAAACAGAAACATGCACTTTGAACCCTCATATGAAATTGCAGTAAAAGCCCAACCCAATAATTATTTTCCTTGATTTTCAGCCAGACGAGGCACAAGACAAATAAGTCATCAAGGACAAATAAAAGGAGGTTCATTCATCGCATTCAGGGCTGGAATCTTTAATGGTCACCAAATGAACTAAGATAACTAAGTAACCATTGTAAATATTAATCTTTAAAGGAAAACAATACTCCCAACAACAGGAAGTCTGATAAGACATTGGATGTGGCCATCAGTGTTATGGAGTCTCTCTAATTTCCTTAGTTTTTTCTTATGCCTCTAGAGGGATCAGGAAGGGGACCATATGGTATCTCTCAAAGGAAGTAAATTAACATTATTAATAGCTAATGTGGGAGAGGTGAAACAGTGATTGTTCGTTCTGGTTGTTATTGTGCTTTTGTTGGGGGGGAAGCCTGCCTGCTAGTAAGCTTAAGCACTCAGCCAAATTCAAAATCTTGTATTTATAAACAGAGATCTGATAACAGTTGCCTAAGCATCCATGATGCTTTGCCAGCGCACGCACATCGGGCTGATCCAAAGGGCCTGTCCTAGGGTTAGCTCACGCAGGGACAGCTCAGGCTGCAGTCCCTGTTCCCAAATAATGCCTCACAAAGACCCCCACAATCTCCTTTGTGTTGGTTTAGTTTGAAGCAGAAGGACAAGGAGGGGCAGATCGGCGCTTTGAGGGATGCAGCCTGTCCTCTGGCATCCAGGGAGGGCATCAAGGGGCCACAGAGGGCTCTCACAGGCAGTGGTCACCCTGTGGGACAGCTCCTTTGGAGCCCACAGTGCTGGCACAGCTGCTCTCCAACATCCCTCAGCAGGGTGGTATGGAAGTGGAAGAAGAATTATTTTGTGGGAAGCAGTGATAAAGTGCTGTATTAGGACTGATTGAATCGGTGACTTGGATGAACATGTCAGAGGCCTGGGATCCCTTGCACTTTCTCTGCACTACAAGAAGAATTCACCTTTCTTAGGCCTGTGCTGTTATCCCCCAAATACTTAGAGGGTGGTATTTATTCACTGTAAATAATATTTCCACTTAAGTTATACATTGTGGCAACTTGAAAGTGTGAGACCCTGGTGTCAGACTCATCTGTTTGTCCCAGAGCACCTGGGATCATAAAATACATTTCTCATTTTTTTCAAGAGTTCCTATACTTTCTATTTTCTTCCCAATAATGAACACCTGAGGCAATTTCTAGCTGGCCTTGCAGAAGTGGACTTCATGATACCTTGCATGTTGAGACAATCTGCAAAATAAATTTAATAGATAAAACCCAGAGGAGTTGATTGCAATTGCCATTATCCATTGAGCTAGGTAGATTTTAACAAACTTTGGGGAAATTGGTCAATAAATTCCTCAGAAAGAAAACAGTGGAATTTGGTATAATTAACTCACTGGACCTTAATAAAAATTGAGTAGCCTAGTAAGATTACTTCATGCTTCAGGGCACATGGTGATTACTTCATGGAGATAAAGGAATTCCCCCTGCCCTTGAAAGCTTATACTGCAACTGCAGGCTGTCAGCTGGAATTTGATTTCTAGGCCTAAAGAGGACAACTTGAATGTTTTAAGACTATACATACTTCAGTTAAACTTAGGTGGAACTGCTCTGTAAGGAAACCCCTTCCCTAACAGACAACTCCACTTGCAGAGAGAAGTCAGTAAATTCTGATTAAGTTTGTCTTACATCTGGTCTAAAATACCTCTTCCTGGTTGATGATGGGATGTTTTATTTCTTGAGAAACTCATCACATTGACCAAGAAAGTTCATGAAAGGCTGAAGAGATGTGCATTGTTTCCTGGCTCTATGGAGTCATATGACATGGATAAATTGGTCTCTGTGCTGAAGCCTGAGTGGTTTATAATGTTGTGAAGTTTTCCACACTGCAAATTTTAGAGCCCTTTTGTATTTCAAGTTACGTAAACTTATAATAAAACTGTTGTTCCTTGGCTCTGCAGAATGGGACTTTCTGCTCCATCAGGAGAGGGTTGGTTTCCAGACACAAAAGAGAGGATGCTTTCATGATAGCTTAGGAGAAGACATTTGCATAATGTCCACAGAAGTATGAGGAGACAGATGTTTTGTAAGGACAACTCTACAATAATGAAAAACACTAACTCAAAAGAAATTAAATGTGTCAAGCCAAACTCTCTAGTGATTGAAATACTCTTTAAGAGAACAAATCTGCCTATTTTCATAATCTTAATTATCAATATCAGTATGATGGTATCACCCTGATGATTACAACTCATTACAGTGTGGTCACGCATTTGTTTCTTGTTGCCTGTCCCCCACCTCCCATCCTTGTTGGGCACCAAGTGTGGTGGTTTGGTGGTGGCAGATGAAGACAATTCTACTCTGAACCCACCACAACCTCAAAAAGCAAAGCGAGTTACAGTGCACTTCCAGGGAATGATAACACCACGTCCAAAGGTTTACAGAGGCCCTGTCTTACCCCGATATCAGCGGGGTCTTGGAGTCCACGTGTCTGTGGCAGCTAGAGAGCATGAGCAGCACTGGGCCATGCAAAGGACACAGGCACACGGTTAACCCCTGCACAAAGCTATTGCTCACTTGCAGCTCATTCCCTGTCCTTATCATGTAATTAATCACACTTTGTGAGAGCCTCAGGAAGGAGGGTGTTGTCTGGGGTGGCTTCGATAACTCAGTTGCAACTTGGACTCTCCACCCAGGTAAGGGATTATTGGAGAAATCCAGCTCTGCCTCCCTCCCCACTCTGGACCTTCTGGGAGGGCACAGAACCCATCCCTCCCCTTGGCACACAGAGCAAAGGGCAAACTTGGCTCCTGCCCTGTTCTTGACCCGAGCAGCAGCACCTGGAGCGAGGCCTCAGGTGACGGTGTCAGGTTATTTGTGGTAAAGCTCAGCAACTTGCTTACTAATCTCTGGAAAGAAGGGGGAAGCAGAGGAAGGAATTTAACCCCGAGGTGCCTGTCAGTCAGCTGGCACAGGCACACAGTGCCTCCCAGGGCCACCCCAGGGAAGTGTGCCTCCAGGACACAAAGCTCTCAGAGCCAGGGCGTGTCTCTGACTGCCACAGGACAATTTATAGGACAAATATTGAGGATAATTAAGGATAATCTCTGCTTTAGGTGTCTTACAAAGAAGGTCAGGTACTGTCTTTCCTTGTCAGATGTGATGAAGTCAGGCAGTTCCCACAAGGAGGAGGTATTTGTTTCTCAGAACAAGTAAGAATAAAACCCCTATTTAGATCCTAAGGGTTTCCTAGATTTAATCTTCTCAAAATTTAGACAAGATCATTACAGTGAATTCTGTCTCTAAAGAGCCATAACAGTGAATTACATTACCAGCACTAAGCTCCTTCTGGTACATGCTTTCCTTACTGTTCTCATGCTAGCAAGTACAGAGAAGTGCTATAATTCTAATGTCCCCAGCTCAGACACTAACATCCTTTCAGGCAACTTGGCAGGTCAGGGTAGATTAGATGGTCACATGAAAGCAGAGGAGGAATCTGCCCTGGCAACTTGTGCTATTTTTTCTGTGTTTAATCTGATGATTTCATAATATTTGGTCATAAGATGTTGTTTTGGATATTCAGTCATTATCATGACAGGCTTCTTCCTAAATAGCCTTTGGGTTACAGACATTTGCATTGCTGGTGAAGTGGCAAAGTTGGGACTAACCAATTCCTGCTCTTGAAAGATCCCAGTATTCCCCAGCTGACAGGATTTGAGAGGACATGTGTTGCATGATCTCTTCTGCTTGTAGATGTGACAACTGAAACCAGAGGAGGTCTGAGAAAAAGGCATGTTCCAGCCTCTGTTTCACAATCCTTGGGTACATAAAAGCCCAGTTACCAAGAAACCAGAGCAACAGCATTTCCCCACCCCTGTGAAGGGGGAATATTCCTTGGAAATATCTGTCTTATGCCACAATGGGCAGGATGCTGAAGGACCAGTAGCCAGAGGAGGCCAATGGGCCTGTGATCAAGCCAAGACTGCTCTTGCAAGAGAAAAGTTCTGTGATTTCTTTGAAAAGGCTGATTCAAAACATTGCAAAAACATGTGGCAACACAGACACTGTTAGAACTGAGCCATTTGCAGCACTCCTGACCCAGCAATCCCCTTTGTCATGCCTTGGTGTGTCCAGCTCCTTACATCCAAGCACATTGCAGCAGCACTTGAGCAGCTTCAGCAATATTTTTAACCTATCAGCATATAACTATATCTTAATTAAGCTGATGGGATTGAGAGCAGGATTTGGTGCTCAAGGCTGCATATGGCAATTGAGTTTTTACAAATTACCATGCCCACATAATTATGAAAATAAGAACTGAAAGAAGCCTTGCTGTCCATGTAACTCTGCAGTTCTACATACTTCACCATGTTAAACTAATGCCTGTGATTTTATGTCTGCTCTGCTCAGTGCTTTCATGATCCTCAGGATCATGAAAAGGATGCAGGATTCCTCAGCTCTAGCTCAATTCACCGTATCACCCACAACCAAGTCCTGTGAAAAGGCAGGTGCTGAGTTCACAAGGATACTCCCAGCAATGGACACCATCTCACAAATAAAGCCCGAGGAACAAAGCTCACTTGCTGCATGCTAGTTTCCAGCTTTGGGGTCTTTGTTTTGGAAGAGCTCCCTGGAACTGGAGATGGTCCATAATTCTAGCCAAGAGTTCCACCATAGCCTCACCAATGTCCCATCTAAAGCCTCATCTCATCACAATCCATCTCATCTTTTGCTGGTTCCCAACAGAGTGCAATGACAGGGAAGGGGGCTAGCATTATTTTAAACTCTAGGACACTGTTCTGAAGCTTGCCAAATTTACACTCCAGATTTTTAATTCAACTTGATGAGCACTGAGTCTTCACACCAACTGCGCCTCATGGAATAGATGCTTGTGTTCAGGACAGCTGCTGTGCCAGCCTCAGCTCCATTCTGTATCTCATGTATCTCATGTATTCAAGTTTATGTGACCACAAACAGTCCTTAAACCTGCCAGCAAAAAGGAAGGGAAAGACAAGCTCCATCACCCTTTCCCCCTCTCAGGAGCCCAATTCAGCTCTGTTTGCAACAAATTTTGTACTCAGGCAATAAAAGGTGCTTGCAGTTAATAGTATTGCTTGGACAATAATAGGCATATATCCCCCCAGTACATATGCAGACCTTCCAACTCCTAGACCTTAGAAGAGATACTTACACATATACAGGTATCATCATATAACTGTAGAGATTGGAAAACACAGGCTTGAGAAAAGTATCAGATTAATCATCCAGAATCCCACAAAACTAGAGCCAGAATCACACCTACAGCTCTCCATTTTCTAATGTCCAACTGTCTGCATATTTTTCAGTCTGGTTCTGCTGAAAACTTATGTTGTGACAAAAATCTAAACACTTTTTATCACTTTTGACTTACAAACTATGAGATCGCATTTGTCAGATGTAAAACTAGAAGTAATGCATGCAAATTTAAAGTTTTCTCAAAGCAGAAGGGAAACATTTTAGCTGGAATGGTAAGGATAGGGTGGGCTTACTGTAAGAATGTACTTCTTATTCAAGGTAAAGACATATTCAGCTTCACAATGGATCTTTTAAGTTTGACTGTTGATTCTCATCCCATACCCAGCATGAAGATTTAATTTTATTGTGCCTCTTCCTTACAGAGCTCTAGATATTGCTAATAACTGAATTCCAGTCACAAAGCACACTTGTAGAGATAAGTCCAGTAGCTAAGCTGCTGACTGCATTTTCTGATGTCCTTAGAAAACACCAACCTGTAATTAACCTAAAATACCAACCAAGAAAAATAGTTCAGTCTATAATATACTCATGTAGTTACATCACTGATGCCTTCCCAGAGTGACAGGGACAGTGCAGGATACACAGTAGCCTAGAAATGGGTTGGGTGCAATACATCTGTAGGGCAGAAGTGTTTTTACCACAGGTGTTCTTACTACAGGTGCCTTAAGCACAAAGCTGCATCAGGTTTGGGGCTCTTTGGAGGTTCTCTCAGCACCATCAGGTTTGAAATTTTGGGTCGGAGCTGTGCTTATTCATCCATAATGACAAAGTCAGACTGATCTCTGTTATTCTATTCTGAGCCCAGCTTAACTTCATTAACTATCAGAACAAGGTCATGCTCTGTTAGGTTTGTACTTCCACATCCCATAGTAACTTTGAATCATCCTCACTGTCAATGCACTGACATTTATGGTCTTCTACTATCATCCCTTTGTTTATGTTCAAAGTTCATTCACTCCCTTCTTCCATTAGGGCTCTGTAACATATTCTCTGCCCTAATACCTCTTGGTACCTTTTTCTTACTTGACCCATCAAAAGTTTCTATCTGTCACCAGAGGTAGTTTCCATGGAAACTCTGAAGAACAGGCAAAGTTAACGAGGCATAAAATGAAGACAGTGTCCTCAAGCTCACCCATTTTGAAAATCTAGGTCAGCAATGTTTGCTTAAAACATTCCACTCTTCTAAAACCATGTTCACTTGACTGTTAAGGATGTAATAAAAAGAGAAGCTCTAGTACATCCCAAACTTAGCATGTTTAATATAATACTGGATGTTCATGTGAATAAACTATTTTTACAATTTCTCCCAGCCTGTTTTCCCTTTCAGTTTCCTTGGATAACCCACAGGCATTTTGTTTTATCATCCAGTTACTTATCTTCACCAAACATTTACTCTGGCCATCATAATCTGTCTTTCAGGTACTGTTCAAAAAACCTGCTATGATCTCACTGAGGGCAGGAGGTATTGGCTCTATCATCCCTTTTAATCTCATTTAGAGGATCTACAGGAATGAGAGAACAGTCTACATGAAAGCCCAATTCAGTCTTAGCCTGCACAACACACAGGCAGAAGCCCAGTAATGAAACCAATGCTGAAATTTGGAATTTGAATTTCCTTACAGTTGATGTTGTCTGATCTCAGCCACCAACTCCAAGCGCCAAATGCTGATCTGTTGAAATGCAATGGACTGTGCTCCAGTAAATGATTTATTGCATTCAAGGGGTTTCCTTAGTGAGAATCACAGTTTCTCTCAGGAGAAGAAACAGCCATACCAAGTGTTAGTGCTAAAATATGCTGTCAAGTACATAAGGTTATGGAAGGCTGCCTCAAAAAAGCTGCTGTGGAGGGAAATAATGCTGATGATTTGTTCATCATTTCCTCTACTAGTTGAAAGCTGATGTAATCAGCTGAAGTCAAATACCTTTTGAGATGCAACTATATAGCCAGGAATACCCATGTTTTTGGGCATGTCTCAATTTGATCTCCACAATTTCTCTCTAATTTATACAGACTGAGGGCCTTCAGTACTTTGGGTAGCTGAGTGATGACCTGCTCCTGTTAAAATGTAAGCTCCTGTGGAACACAGAGGTTTTTTTCCTGTTTTTTTTTTTCCTGTTCACAGTGGATGGTGATGGGATTTCAGCTGTTGATGACAAGCAAGAAACAAAGGTTAAAAAAATACCTATAACCTCATGACTTCCTGAGAAAATAAGGTGCACATGATGACAGCTTACAAAAAAGTCTGCTGTCCCAGTAAAAACCTACTGCAATCCACCCTACGTTCCTTGTGCTATCAAATATCAAATCTGAAGTAAATCAGGCCTTTTTCTGGCCAATTCCCTTTTCTCTGCCTAAACCCCTATGTAATGTGTTGATTTAGAAATTATGTACAGCCAGGACAGTTTGAACAACATCTGAAGCAGAACAGCAGTCCCCAAAAACACTTCAGTGTAATCCAATTACACTAATTAAAATAATTATTTCCACTTAGTTTGCTACTGAACTGCTAGCTAGGCACAACCAGAGTCAGTGCATACAAAGGTCAGGTGCAGCCTCTCCAAACTCTAGGGAGGACATAAAAAAAAGTAATGTAGCAGGATGCAAGTCTCTAGATGCTGGTTGTGGTTTGATTTTGCTCAAGTGTGTCAGTTAACAACAGGCAGGTGGAGAGCTTCCAACTTGTTTCTTCTTGTCTACACACATCATGCTTTCCCCCCTCAGCTCTTACTCCATTCCTCTGTTGTGCTGCAAACTGAACTCCCAGCCTGGAAAGTTTTCTCCAATGGTAAGTTTTGAAAGAAGATGTGCTAAAAACTTAAAATGTTTCTGCAAATGGGTACTTCATGGCACTGGTTCTAGAACAAGATTCATAAGGTAGACAGATTGCCCTCCAAATTTGCAATTGAAACGTCTGCTACTTGTGCCTACATCTTTTGCAGAATTTCTGGAGGAAAAATCAATCCGTTTTAGAAAGAAACAAATAGAGACATAACTGTCAAACTTATTTTCTATTTTTTTTAGTGAGCCTAAAGGAAAGTTTCCTTCAACTCACTCTATGTTGTCAGTATAGCTTTGTCTCCAGCACTTTACAATTTTCCAGCATGCCTGTCTGCTGCCAAATCCTTCCCTTGACATGACCACAGAATAAAAAATCCTTTGCTTCCCTCATTTGAACATCCAACAAGCCACAGTGGCTTTCTTAACTACTGCCTTCTATGAAGAAGCACAAAAAGTAGTCCTCAGTCATGCCCACTTGAACAACCATGTGAAAGAGCCTGATTTCATTTTTCCTTCTATCAGCATAGCAGACCTCTGATAGTACCCTGCATAATGCCTCTGACTGGCTACCTCAGCAGACCCCTGGGTCTTTCAAAGTGCCACCATTCTTCTCCCCTACACAAGAGAGCAAGCCATTTCTCCCCTCTGTTAACCCAGGACCAGGGGATTGCTGCCCCACCCTCTGCATTTGGCCAGAATAGATGCAAAAAACCCACAGAGATTTGGAGCTCCCAAACCAACAGTGACTTTGGCATAGCAGATGCTGCTGTAAAGGAACCTGGTGGCTTCAAAAACTGGGGCACTGGTGTTTTTCTCATATGTCACTCATTATCTGATCTGTATCAGAAGGACAAGGCCACCATGTGCGTACTGTCAGTATTTCCCTGTGCCTTGGACTTCTAGATTCTTTGGACATCTGAGCCTTTTTGCTGCAGTTGAGATAACACTTACCGTACTCATCAGGAGGTGTGAGGTTATCTGTCATTGTGTCTTCATTCACAATATATGCACACAAATTTCCAGGTGAAAAACGGGTGAGTTTGGATTAGCCTTTGTTTTAATTCTGGGGTGAAATTAGAGAAGTTGCAAGCAAAACAAAGTAATAGAGTTATCAGTCAGCTCTCAGATTATGACAATGATGGGGAGAAAAAAATTAGCCTATTCAGTAGATCAATAGATCTATTGATCTATCTGGGGAGAACATAAATAATGGAAGATATGCCAAGCACATGTGGATGGAAGAGACAGAGTAATCCATCTCCAAATGGCACCTGCTGAATTGTGGGACATATAAAATATGCCCTTGCAATCTACTGATTGTGATGGAATTGGATCAAAGCACTGATCTCCTAGCACTGGCGCTGCTCTGGCCAGAGCCTAAAAGACCAAACTATATGATAAATCCCAGCTAAGAATCTTTTAGGTTCCATTGCTTCTGTCATTCTCAAAACTCAGAGTGTTTTTGGTGCATTCGTTTATGTTTCTCCTGAACTTCTGAGTTATCTTTAATCAAGACTTACATGTTGATGACAAACTTCATTCTGTCATTCAGATGTCCTACTTCTATCCCAGGAATGCAGCTAGATTAGAGTTTGCCTTATCCCAGGAAAATTGGGAGATGTTAATCCATTCTTGTGTTACATCTTGGCTGGGCTCCTCACACTCTTTGCTGACAGCTTTAACAAGCAGGGCCATGAATTTATTGCAGCTTAATTTGAATTTATCTGCAAAAGATGCCACCTGAGACTAAACATTCATGTATCATTTTGCCTGACTTTAGAGCCCATCAACTCTCTCCCCAGGAATGTGGTGTATTGATATTAACAATTCCTCTGCTCATGCTTATTGCCATTCACTGATCCTCTGCAATGGCAAACATTGCTCCAGGCTCATCCTTTCCCTTTGCTCCTGGTGGACAGATTTAGTGATCTGAGTGAGGGAAGAGAGCATACTAATTAAATTCAGATATTAAATCTAAATCAGGAGGTGCTGCAAATACCAGGGAAGGCAGGGAAAACACAGTTCAAAAGGAATTCATAGCCCCTGGGACAAAATGGAAAAATCTGTCAGAATGCAAACAGAAATGTTTGGTAAAGAGAAATAACATGAAAGATACTTTCACAACAGAATCGTTGCAAAATTTTGATGTTAAATGGATTGTAGAAAGCAAATCAGATCAAAGCTGGAGGTAAAATATGGCATTAATGAAAACAACACATGATTACGGAAGTTTCCTTCATCAGAGGCAGAGCACATTTCTATATTTAATTTACTCCCAGGTTGCTACAGGCCACAACTGCATTCATAAAAGCCGAAGTGTAAGAGGAAAACCAAAAGCAATTTATAAGGATAGATCTTAAGGACTAAGTGTGAGTGACACAGCCAAATGGATGGGGAGGAGCAAAAAGGTTGGCATAAACCTGTTGGGAAAACTACTGTGGAAAGGAGGAATTTGCAAAGGCTCAGGGGACTCAGCTAGGAAAATGAATGAGTCAAACTTTGAAATAAAGGAGGGGCCAGGGTTACTGTCCAGGAAATGGTGAAGTTGAGACATCTGTTCACCTAAAATATACTCTCCAGGGAGGTAAGTATGATGGCTGATGTAAATCTGGAATGGGCTAAAGGGCAATAGAAAGAAAACATTTTTGTATTTTTTGTGCATAAAATGGCGACATTTTTAGGCACCAAAGGATAAATCCTCAGCTGAACTAGACCACTGCAGCTGCACCAAAGTCTGTCAGTTTACACCAGCCAAGATCTGGCATATCTGTCATAATTCACATTCTGGGTTGTGAACAGTAATTAACCCTGGCTCCACCCAGCAGAGTTTCCTTGCCCTTTATATTTGTTAGTCAATATATGCTTTAGGAAAACAGGGCAGAAAGGACCTTTTGGATTGTCTGATCCTTTCTTTTGCTGTTACAGTGAGCCATAACCACTCCAGCTGGCAAACTGTAAAATTACTGTGGTTTCTTGTTCCCACTGCTCTTTGTTAAAAAAACTCCCTGTATAACTTGTTAGAGAACCTAACTTAACATCTAAAATAACAAAATCCATTTTAAAACCCTCTCTCTTTCTTTGTTTACAATGTTCTTCTCTTATTCTGGTGTTTAACTCTCCATTGTGAAAGAGGGGTAAATGCCCCTTCTAATTACAGCTGATAAATTAGAGGAATGGTGACTTAAGCAAAAGAACTAAAGATGTTACTGTATGGCTTCTTTGGGATCATTTTCAAAGGTGCTGCTTTGAAATGGACCATACTCACATGGTCCCAGGAAGGCCAGGATTGCCAGGACCAGTCATGACAATATTTTGTTTACTTTTTTTCGAAAGTCAACAGTGTTGAGTGTCTGGAGACACCAGATTGAAACCCTGATCCAGATGAAGCCAGCATCAGTTCTGCCACTGGTGATGACTCTCTTGCATCTGCACACCTCGGATACTTCTGACATCTGCCATTGCTCCTCTGCACCAAAATTCCTCCCCTGTCCTTCACAGCAGCAAAGAGCTCTTGTCCCTCCCCACTCCAACCTTCCCACATGCTTTCAGAAGACAAAGCTGAATGACCTTTCACCAGGCCAGTGTACCATCCTCTACATTCAGTGATGCCTAACTTGCCCTAGGTCATCACCAATAGGTTTTTCACAGGGTTAATGATTTTGGGAAGCTCTGAAAAGCATTAGCACGGAGAGCAATATAGAGCTGAGGTCATGCCAGGGGGAGGTGGAAGCCTCACGAGACTGGCCTGACCACAGTTGTCCCAGAAAAAGGGCATTCACCCCATCCCAGACAAGTTGGGGTGGGGAGAAAAGGAAAAAAAATAAAATCAGGCCCTGGCTCATAAAAGGCAGTATAAATTTAATTAGAAGAAATGTTGTACTTTACATGCAAAGAATTACACAGACCAGTAATAACCTTTATAATACCAGGGCAGAAGTTCACTGGGGAGCAAATTCACTCTTCAATGCTGCACTCTACAGTGAATGAGGAAATAAAAAGGCCTATTGAAATCCATTTTCCCTGGCAGGTATCTTCAATGAGATTATCAAAACAAAGATACTAGAAATCAAACAGATTTATGAGCCATGATAGCAACAGATCATTTGATACACATGGAAAAGCAACAAAGCTTTCCAACAAACCCTTCAACTCCAGTGCAGAAGTCTCTAACTTGAAACTAAACAGAGGCTAGGGAGGCCTGAGCTTATATTATGCTTAGAAATACACCTTTTTGAAAGTTCTGTATTTTCTTTTGTAGGGCAATTTTCTGCTCAAGTCCTAAGCAACATCACACACTTTCTTCTGCACAGACTTCCCCTTTCCCCTGCCTTCTGAAAAAGCAAATAACCACAAAGAATAGAGTTCAGGCTTTGTTCTTCCTGTTGTTCCAAGAGCTGCAGACAGGGGAATGCAAACAGAAGAAGGTTTCTGTGTTACAAGATGTAGATTGGAGAGGAAACCCAGCATCATTTATTGGGTCATGCAAGTTGAAGAGGAGGAAACTGGCTCTTGATGTTTCACATGCTGCATGTCCATGAATATCTTGCAAATATTAACTAACCCTCATGAAACCCCCGAGACAAGTTAATATAAACCATTTATATGTAGGGAAGCAAACATCAAGAGTGTCCAGAACCTGCCTGGGGGCTTTGTCAGTGACTCAACAACTGGAGTAGGTCAGTCAAACATCTTCCAACCTTCTCTAGTCCATTGGCTTCAGTGACATCAGAAAACATAACCAATGTCATGTTAAAGGTCCAAGCAAGGCCCAACCCTCTCAGACAAGCTGGGACATAACATTTCATGGAAATCTGTGCTGGCATTATGGGATGAGAGCAGTTTTAAAGGGTTGGGAGAAGACCCTGAGAGAAAGGCTGGCCATTTCGGCTCAGCTTTGGAAATTTTGGGTTTCTTCCATGTGTGACTCAGTAAAATTTGCATACATGGCATTTACATCCACACAGACATCAAAGAAATTCTTCATTTAGAGAGTTTTCAGCACTAAGACTGACAAGCTAAAAGGCATTTTCCCATGAAAGGCATACCCTCCTTGTGTGTCTAATCCAGGAATTTAATGCAGCACTTCAATAACTAAATTTACACCCTTATGTTCTGTCTCCTCACTTTATTTAATTTCCCTGATTACTGAGGAATGAATTCCATTCCTTATTTGAGCTGGTGAGTGCAGAGAAATGGCTCTTTTCTTTCCTTTTGATAGAAAAAGTTTCCATTTGCAACAAGAACCTGGACAGTTTTGTCCAACTTTCCTGCCTGAATTATGAGACAGAAAGAAAGCAGCAAGAGAAGATCCTAATCCTACAAAATCCAGTGGCTTGGAGTGAAGTGGGCAGCTGAGACATAGTTTAGTGCAGTAGAACTAAGGGAGTCCTCATCAATCTAGATGAAATAAATTTGGTCTACACTTGACAGCTGAAAATTCAAATACTTTAAAAGAAGTTACCTTAGCAAGAGAAATGATTGCTCAAAGGAAGCAAGGCACATGTAGCAATTTGATATGGGGATGGAATCCAGGATTCCCATGGTCTGTTCCCAGCCTTGGGCTGGCCTCCTGTGAAACTAGGAGGCAATCACTCAACAGCTTTTCCTTCACTTTATTCTTCTTTATAGGTTGTTATAGGACTTAAATGCAGGACTTCACAGAGGATGTGTTCCTACAATTCATTATTTGGGCTGAAATGCACCAGCTTGTGCTTTGATATCATGGGCTGAATAGTGCCTGAATTGCTCCATGCCTTGGTTTTCCACTGACATAAAGAGAATATTCACGTGCTTTGAGATCTTGGATGGAAATGAAATGCAAACACAAAAGTGCTACTCTTCTATTGAGAGGAAGAGACAGTTAAATTCTGCCCTTTTGCTTCCCTACTCTATTGGGATTGGCATGAAAACATAAAGATGACAGGCTGGGCCCCATTCTATTAAGATTTAAATTTAGCAAGGAACTGGAAAATTACTGGGAGCCTTATGTCTAACCTCTGCCTCAGAAGCAAATATGCATAATTCTTGTTCCATAGCTAAATTTGAGTGAATTACCAAATGTTGGACCAATAAAAGAACTGTCCAACACAAACCTTATCTGCCTGAGATGCACATATCTGCTTACAATGTCCTTTGTTAGTTAAACAAAACAGAATCATTGTTGCTAAGAAGTTAATATTGTTTAAGATTCACTGGCTTACACACAGAACACTTTCCTGAGTTCCCCCAAACACATTCCTTTTCTGTTCTCTTCATTCCTTCCCCCCTTTTTTTCCCTTTTGTACTGATTTGGCTAAGGCTGATGTTTCCTTTAGGTTAACTTGCTCATAAGGTGATATGAACTTTGAGGCAGGCAAACATTTCAGCTGATACAGTGAAGGGTAAATAGCTGTTCAGATCAGAGCAAACAATTCATCTGGAGAGCAAAATATAACTGAAGTAATTCCCCAAGCATTGAACAGGAGCCTACTTGCTCTACCTCCTACCAGCTCACTCTCTTCTTACTTGCAACCTTTAAAACCTGTGTTGCCAGTGTCCAAAATTCCTTCATCCAAAAACTGACTTAGGGAAAAATTAATCCAACCACAGTGTTCCAATAAATGAATAAACACCCTTCAATGCTTTCTGTGATGTATTTTTTAATTTGGTTGTCTTTTCTAGTGCTGGGACAGTACATGCCACAAACATCCACATGGAAATGAAAATATAAAGAACCATTTCATTACCAGAGCAATATCAGTGAAGATGCCAGATGTAAAACAGAAACCCAGCAGGACATCACTCCATGACAGCTGCTCAAAGCTACACTTGGGATTGATCTGCTAAAACCATCCCATCCCATTTTCCATGTCCTGCAGCATTATAGGGATTACCATTAAAAGCACATTTCTGTCAGGGTAATTTCACCTGCCTTGTAGGTGTCTGCCAGCAGAACTGTGCCCTGCTGAGAGGTGACCACACCACAGCTCTGACTAATGCTCTGCACAACCAGCTGTGCAGAGCTGCCTGGTTTGTGAGCTCTGAGAGCCCTCCAGGTCCTTGGCCACAGCTATCTGCAGAAAGCTGTGCAGGGTAAATGAGGGCACAGCCAACTCCCTGCCACTGTAACCAGACATCCTGAGCATCTCCCCACGAGGCTGCAGCATGGGCAGGCACAGATATGCTGGGGGGATGTAGGCGAGACATAAAACCCAAGAAGAGATGTTCTGGTCTCTCAGAAAAAAGCACTGATAAGAGCCACTTTTTATAACATGTACTTTCCCATCAGAGATTAAAAACTCAAATATTTTTTTCCAGTGGTTAGCAATTTTTCTAGCCTAAGGACTGATGAAAAACATTTTTGAGAGTCTGAAAAATGAAGCCTTTCCTTTTACACTCAAAACAGGCAGAGAGTTGGAGGCAGTGTTGGAAGCTGCATGATCTAGGATCAGTTTGAGGGTCTGTGTCAGACTTTAATGGGTTTTATTCCACAGGCTGGCAGTGAGCAGCCCCTTAAGCCATGAGCAGGCCTCGTAACTAGACCAAAAGCAAACTCCTCTCCACAAGCACCAGGGGACTGAATCCAACTGAAACTCGTGGCCCATGCACAAATTCACTCTGAATTTCTTCTGGCACCAAGTAGGCCTCATTATGAGGATAACATTCAGATCTCAATGTGTATCACAGCCAAGCAGGGACAGGTGAAATGAGCTGTCTCTGCGCTGAAAGTGTTTGACACCACTTGCTAACTCTTC